TGGGGGTGGAGACAGGAGAGGGCGGGGTTTGGGGAGGGGAGGGGCTTCCGCATAGTACAATGCCACAGAGTCCACCCTTCAAAGCAGCCATTTTCTCCAGGGGAGCTGATCTCTGTTGGCTGGGGATCAGTGGTAAAAGCGGGAGATCCCCAGGCCCCACCTGGAGGCTGGCAACCCTACTGCTTCCAAGCAGTGTTCCCTCTAAGCTGAGTTAGTGTGAGCTAGCTCACAGTTTTTTAGCCTCCGGCTCACACATTTTTGCCTTGGCTCAGGAAGGAGGGCTCCAGAGCCAACTAATTTCTGCTGTAGCCAAATCACTCGCTCACAGCTTTAATGCCAGTAGCTCACAAAGTAGAAGTTTTGCTCACAAGACTCCACATCTTAGAGGGAACATTGCTTCCAAGTATTTATTTTCTCCTCGTGTCATCTTTACTGGCCCAGCTGAGGAACAGAAGAAGCCCAAAACCTCGGAACTGACATGTCTCTCTAGTTACTGATAACAATGGCAGGGACAGTCACTGCAAAGAGTGACTAAGAAAGACCCAGCAGACATGGATTTCAAGGTGACACTATCCCTGCCATGATAAGGATTAGTGGCAAGTTACACATATTTTCAAGTGTACCTTTTACCTCATGACTTACTGCATTTCTGAATGTGGCAGTATTCTCGTTGTGTGGCAGGATCTGTTGTGTAACACCAAGGACGCTCAGAACTGTCAGGATTGCGGCAGTAATTGTCACGCAGATCTTTATCAGGGTATCTTTAAGGGAAAGGAGAGAAGAAGAAAAGTAACAACCCAATAGTTTTTGGTTTTTTTCTGTTTTCATTTGCCTCTGGATCAAGCACTTATTTGCACTTGTATTCCTTCAGGAACAGAAAATCACCACCAGCTCCCTCTCCTACTTTTATGTAACAGAAAACAGTTCTCTCACTAACTCAGTTAGGGTTGCCATCTGTTCCATGATGAGTATAGGCACGGCTATTTTTTAAAAATATGCTTAAATGTAAATAGGTTAAAATAATTGAAACACAGACTTCACAACTGGAAAGTGTCACCCGGGAAAAACACATTGAGATAAGTTTTTTTTAATGTGTGTCTCTCACAGCAGACCAAAGAGCAACTTAAAAGGGTCATGATAACGTTCTCCCATGATATAAGGGGGGAAATCCTGCAATTTCATCTTATAGGCCAAACAGCACTCCCCTGGATAGTTTCAGGTCAGGAAAATGGTGCAGGATAGAAAGCTGGAATTCACCACTTGCACCACAGTACTCTTCCAAATCTCTGGCACCATTCATGCAGGAGCAGGATACTCCACACCTAACTCTTAAACCTAGACCGAACCTGTTTATTTCCTGATGTGGAATTCAGGGGGGAAAGAATAATGGTATAGAAAATGGTGGTTAGGACATTCCCGGACTCACTATAATAGATCCAATGAGTGCGGTTCCTCAGAGACACTGGTAAAACCTTGGATGGATTACCAAGTCTGTTGGAAAAATCCATAGTCAGGAACACCCCAATCTGAGATAGGTTTCCCTCCCCCTTAATATTTTATGCAAGTACTTATTTGGCTGGTATGGATGCTTGTGAGGAAACTGCAGGTCCCAGCACTGGCACTCCTTGCCAGACTCAGTGTGATCCACAAAGCCCTGATAGTCTTCACCATTACATGACATGCATTCAGCTGAAAGAAAAGACAAGAGAGAGTCATTGCCTGAGACATAAAATAAGGCTGAAAGTTCCTTATCCATCACCATGTCCAGAAGAAGAGAGCTCATCTGCAAGGGCACATCAGCCTGAAGAACAAATACATCTTATGTCCACATTTCAATCACTCTCTGTGTAAAACAATATTGTCCGCCCTGAACCTACTGCCCATCAGCTTCATTGGATGCTCAAATTCTAGCATTTTGGGAGAGAGAGAAAAAGTTCTCTTTGCACACTCTCTTCACCCCATGCATAATTTTATAAACCTCTATCATGTCCCCCCCCCTTAGTCATCTTTTTTTCTAAACTGAAAAGTCCCAGACTCTTCAGCCTTTTCTCATAGGGAAGGTGCTCCAAGCCCCTAATCATCTTGGTTGCCCCCAATCTGTACTTTTTCCAACTCTTCAATAGCCTTTTTGAGATACAGTGACCAGAACTGTACACAGTATTCCAAATGAGGCCATACCATATATCTATACAGGGGCATTACAAGACTGCCCGTTTTATTCTCAATCCTTTTCCTAATAATCCCTAACATAGAGTTTGTCTTTTTTATCACTGCAGCACACTGGGTTGGACATTTTCATTGCGCTATCCATTACGCCCCAAGATCTTTTCCCCTCTCAGTCTCAGCAAGTTCAGATCCCATTAGCCTACACTTAAAGTTGGGATTTCCATCACTTTACACTTACCAACATTGAACTTCATTTGCCACATTGTCGCCCACTCACCCAGTTTGTGGAGCTCCTCTTGGAGCTCTTCACTCTCAGCCTTGGTTTTCACCATCCTGAATAATTTTGTGTCATCTGCAAACTTGGCCACTACACTACTCACCCCTAGTTCCAGATCACTTATGAATAAACTAAATAGTACCGGCCCTAATACCGATCCTTGTGGGACCTCACTGCTTACTTCCCTCCATTGTGAGAACTGTCCATTGATTCCTACTCTTTGCTTCTAGTTATTTAACCACATTTTAATCCATAAGAGAAACCATCCTCTTATCTCGTGACTGCTAAATTTACTCAGGAGTCTTTGGTGAGGAACCTTGTCAAAACCCTTTTGAAAATCCAGGTATCTAATGTCTACCAGGTCACCGTTGTCTACATGCTTCTTCACTTTCTCAAAGAACTCCAAACGTTTGGTGAGGCAAGACTTTGGAAAAGGACGTTCATTCGCATGCATGTGGCAATTGAGGAGAACCTGCAACTCACATAAGGCTGTTACACAAGGTGAGGTCCTCAGACCCAACCTGTGTACTCTGTAGGAAGTAAATTGCTAGTAATTCTCCAATGATCTTTCTCTCTCTCATCCAAAGGAACGCAAACTCAGGAAGCTGTCTCATCACTCAGAAAAGTGGGGTGCGGACAGTTCCTATTCTCACAAAGCAATGATGGGTCTCTAGAAGAAGAAAAGACTTTCATGTTCATCTAGCTTAGCAGTTCCCATAACCAGCTGTAAGGGACTCTGCATGCTGCTGAGTGAGTTCAAGGCAAGTTATCAGGCCAGTTCATGGCATAAGTTAATTAAAAAATATATTGGGTGTTGCTTGATGTGACGATCTCACTGGTTCCTTTCCCAAATCATTTTGACCAGGAGCAACATTGCTTCAAGATGATAATCTGTTCTCCAAGATATCTGAAAGATGAACTGTACAACCGGAGTGCAAATCATAAAATCATAGAGTTGGAAGGGGCCATACAGACCATCTAGTCCAACCCCCTGCCCATTGCAGGACCAGCCTAAAGCACCCCTGACAAATATTCATCCAGCCTCTTCTTGAAAGCTGCTAGTGAAGAGGAGCTCACCACCTCCTTAGGCAGCTGATTCCACCTTTGAACCACTCTGACCATGAAAAAGTTTTTCCTAATATCCTTTTTTGCCTTTTTTGCCACCGCATCACACTGACTGCTCATATTTAGTTTACAGTCCACCCTTACCCCAAGATCTCTTTCGCATACACTACTCCCAAGAAACGTATCCCCCATCCAGTATTTGTGCTTGACATTTTTGTGGCCCAGATGTAATACTTTTCATTTATCTTTGTTGAATTGCATCCTGTTTGCAACTGCCCACTTCTCCAGAGTATTCAGGTCTTGTTGAATTTTAACTCTATCTTCTTGGGTGTTTGCTACTCCTCCCAATTTGGTATCATCAGCAAATTTAATGAATAGCCCTTCTACCCCTTCATCCAGATCATTGATAAAAATATTGAAAAGTACCAGGCCCAAAACTGAGCCCTGCGGCACCCCTCTGGACACCTCCCTCCAATCTGATGAAACGCCATTGACCACCACTCTTTGGGTGCGGTCCTCTAACTAGTTCCCTATCCACCAAACTGTCCTATAGTCCAGTCCACAGTCTTCCAGTTTTCCGATCAGAATGTCATAGGGAACCTTATCAAAAGTTTGACCGAAATCCAGGTAAATCACATCAACAGAGTTCCCACGATCCAGTAAACTCGTCACATGATCAAAGGAGGAAACCAGGTTGGTCTGACAAGATCTGTTGGGGACAAAACCATGCTGACTTCCCCGGTTCACTAAGTGGTCTTTCAGATGCTTACAGATCAATCCCTTTAAAATCTGCTCTAATATCTTCCCAGCAACAGAAGTCAGACTGACTGGCCTGTAGTTTCCCGGGTCATCCTTCTTTCCTTTCTTAAAGATTAGGATAACATTCGCTCAGGGGTCGTTTGGGGCCGGAGCACACTGGAGCACCGCTCCAGGAGCCCAAGAGCGGGCACAAATGGTGGTGGCAGCAAGCCCCGCCCCCAGCTCCCTGCCTCCACCCCCAAGCTCTTTCTCGTTAGAGTTGCGCTGCAGGAGTGGTACAATCTCTCCATTGTATTCTATGGCCCCATTGAATACAATGCAGCGTGACTCCATAGAGAAGGGGTTTAAACTTCTATTCTATGGCAGGTCAGCTGGGGAAGCAAAAAGGGGGGGGGATCTTCAAAAGCCTCCCCTTCCCCAGCCGGCCTACCAAGGCGGGCTGGGGGAGGGAAGCAAAGAGAGAAGTGGTTTAAAGTTTAAACTCCTTCTCTATGGAGTCACACAGCAGCAGCGGCGCAAACTCTCCATTCTATTCTATGGGGTGCCTCTAGAGAGAAGGGGTTTAACCTTTAAACCCCTTCTCTCTTCACTCCCCCCACCCAGCACGCCTTGGCAGGCTGGCTGGGGAAATGAAGGGGAGGCTTTTGAAGATGCCTCCCCCCCTTTTGCTTCACCTTCTGACATCACTTCAGGTGATGGCAGCGGGCGTGGCATATGCTAATGAGCTATTATGCTAATAGCTTATTAGGTATGCTAATGAGCTACTGCAGCTCTTTTTCTACGAAATGACCCCTGCATTCGCTCATCTCCAATCTTGTGGCACATCCCCAGTCTTCCAGAAGGCCTTGAAGATGATGGACAGAGGCTCTGCAAGTTCATTAGAAAGTTCTTTGAGCACTCTTGGGTCCACACCATCTGGCCCAGGGGATCTGTATTCGTCCAGTGCAGCCAGGTGCCTCTCCACAACCTCCCTGACAATGTCAACTGGACACTCAGGTGTCCTGTCATGTCCTCTACCATCTCTAGATGGGCTCGAGTTCTTCAGGGAGAAAACAGAGGCAAAAATGTCATTAAGCCCATCTGCTTTTTCTCTGTCCTCCACCAGTGTTTCTCCTTCTACTACCAAAAGCGGTCCAATTGCCTCTTTTACCTTCCATTTGCTTCTCACATATATGTTGAAGTTTTTCTTATTGTAGTGAGCCACCCTGGGCAGACCCAACTCATACTGAGCTTTGGTTTCTCTGATGGCTGATCTGCAGTACCTAGTAACTCTCATATACTCCTCTTTAGAGGTCTGACTTTCCCTCCATTTCTTGAACATTTCCTTTTTCTCTCTTAGCTTATCCTGGAGTTCTCGGTTCATCCACATCAGTTTCTGGGGGTCCTTACCATGTTTCCGCCTTGCTGGAATAGTGAGGGCTTGAGCTCACAAAAGCTCATGTTTGAGAAGAGCCCACCCATTACTTGCTCCTTTCCCTTCCAACACACTCTCCCACAGAATGACTCCCACCAAGTATCTGAGTTCGTTGAAGTTGACCCTACAAAAATCTAACCTACGAGTCTGGCTATGAAAAAATCTAACCTACGAGTCTGGCTACGACTTGTCTGCATCTATGCAGACAAGTGTTCCTCTATGCATGATCACATGACATGGCACTGGATGCCTATGAACTGATACAGAGCCAGTGTGAGGTAGTGGTCAGAGTCTTGATCAAAGGGCGAAATACACATTAAATGTGACACGAATGGGGTCATGGGGGCTCTCAGTCACAAATTCACATAGGAACTAACCCTTAAAAACCTCTTCATCACTTTGTGAGACTCCAGATGCTGTGAGGAGGGGCTTCAGGCTTCTCTATAGTGACATTTTCATCAACAGAAAAAGACATGGAAAGGCCTGTTTACCCCCCCCCCTACAGCATTTGGAGCTAGGTGGAGCAACAGAGTAGTTTTTAAAGGTTAGTCCCTTCATGAATGTGTGATTGAAAGCTTGGTTAGGCTTCTGTGACCTAAGCCTGGGGAGATCCACGTTTAAATCCCTACTTCCCTTGAAATTCACTAGGTAACCTTGACCCAGCCATTGTTTCTCAGCCTAACCTATCTCACACAGGGCTGTTCCAAGGATGAACGAGGTATGTTACCATGAGCATGCTCTTTGAAGGAAGGTGGAATGAAATGACATTAAATAAACAATACTGGTCAATATAGTTCTCTTGAGCCATTCTACACACCATCTTCACATTTCTTGATGCCACAACTTCGATACCGAATCTTAGGATCAACTGTGTAGCACCAGGGACCACCCTGATCATTATCTGGATTCCGACAGTAATTTTCTTCCAACCCATTACGTGCTGATGGAGAATGCCTTATTGCACAAACAGAAAATCAGAGAATAATGACAGGTTTAAGTAAAGGTTCGCACCGAAATTGTCAAATGGACTACAGAATGCTACATTTGACCAGAAACTTCAAAACTCAGATTTTGAAACCAGAATTAATTATACATTATTCAATTAACTAACTTGCTTATTTTGAGTGGATTTTTAAATTTATACTCTGTTCTCCCCATGCCCCCACCCCCAATGACCCTCAAAACTCTTGTTGTCTCAAATGGTGAAAAGCTGCTTTGTTTTGTGATCTTCCAAACCACAACCTTTTAGGGAAAACAGTCTTCAAAATATCTGTCCAGACATCACTGGAAACATTTTGAGGAAGTCAATAACTGTTTAGTGAAGTAATAGTTTCACCTATATCCTGAGACAAAATCCAGGAAAAACACACTACTGAAGACATGATAGGAGGATCCATGTGAACTTATTCACATACTCCTGTTCATGTGTGAAGTGGAGGTGATTTTCTATCCCACCCCCCACAAGAAAACAGAGCATTAAGTGAAGATCAGGAATACTGTTCTCTTTTTCACATTATGTCTGTGAGCTCCATCACTTTGAGATTTTTTTTTCCAGTCTGGCCCAGTATTAGAGCTTGACTAAAACAAAAATGTCTCCAAAATGGAGAGTATGTTCCATTTTCTGTATAAGAACAAAAACGATCCCACTTCCTGCTTCATTTTGGTGAATGTAAGGCTGTGACAAATGCATATGGTCCCCCATGACATCTGTTAAGACCTTTTAACAATTTTGGGGTAGGTTATAGCCTCCTAACCAGGAGACAAGCCCTGAAGGAAGAAGGACTCTTCTTAGGGAGAGGATGGTGGCTCAGTCGGAGAGGCTCTGTTTGGCATGCAGAAGGTCCCAGGTTCAATCACTGGCGTTTCCAGTTTAAAAAAGGATCAAATTAAATAGTAGGTAATGTAAAAAGACCTCCATCTGAGACCCTGGAGAGCTGCTGCCAGTCTCAGTAGACAATACTGACCTTGCTGGATCAATGGTCTAATTCAGTATAGGATGAGCTGTCCCTGGATGAAGGCTCGACTTCCTTAGAAGTTTCAAAGATGGAATCCCATCCCCCCCCCAAAGTCTTGAAGTGAAGCAGAGCATAGTAGAGCCACATTATCACTGCCCCCACCATACCTATGATCATGAGGAACTTTCAAGTGCCAGTGCTGACAGGTTTTTCTATCTTCAGTCACTGACTGGGTCCCTCTGTAGCTTGACCCATCTCCCACAATGCAGTTCCGCATATAAGCTGTGAAAGAGAGAGAGTACAACTACAGTAATAGCAGCACAGCCATGAAAAATGAAATAGGCTATGTCAGTATAGTAGTCAAGTATTTTACGAGACTCATTTTAAGGTGCTCTATGTTTTAGGCTGTTTTTAAACCCTTGCTGGATTTTTAAGACTCTATTATTTGTTACAACTTTTATGGTGTTCATATTTATGTTAGATAGAACTCATTTAAATAAATAAAAAGGACTGGTGGTTTTTTTTGTCACACTGTATTTTCCAGAATGATGAGAGACAGTCCTACCGTAAGACCAAGAGAAGGTGAAACTGGGCAATATCTTTGCATCTCTAACTCAAACAGTATCTGGATTACCATTGCCTACTCTCTCTCTCTCAGGAGCCAGACTGGAAAAGTAGAACAGTCTCCTGGCAACAGGAGAGACAGACACCCACCATAAAAGATCATATTGCTCTTTTATCTGATAACAGAACAAAGTGTTCTGCTTAACCGTGAACAATATTTACATCCTGTGTACATACCCTCCAATTGTTACAAATCTCCCAGGACTGGCACTGTTATCAAGTGATATTTCCAAATAATTACATGTCTAGCATTTCTATTACTTAACAATTCCAGAGGAGAGTCCTGACATTTATTTTTACTTATTTTATTTTGTTCAATTTATACCCCACCCTCCCCACCAAGGCAGGCTCAGGGCGGTTTCCATAAAATGCATATATAAATACAATTAAAGTCCATCATAAAAACAGCCCAAAACCATAAACAAATCAGTTATCCTAAACTGCTGGAACAGTATTCAGATAAAGTGCGAGAGCAGAGAATTTCAGATTTAAGCAATATTCCATAGGTGGCAATAATAATAATGTTCCTGCACCAGCTCCATTGATCTCCATATATACATGCCGCATAGGCGGGTTAAAGATGGTGAGGCCAGGGCACAGGGACACTCCTCAGTGTACAATGCGGCTCCTTAATCAAATGCCTGGTGGAAGAGCTCCGTCTTGCAGGCCCTGCGGCACTGTAAAAGGTCCTGCAGGGCCCTGATCTCTTCTGGGAGCTCATTCCACCAGTATGGAGCTGCCACTGAGAAGGCCCTGGCCCTGCTTATCGCCACCCTGGCATCTGTCATCTCTGGCATCTTGGTGCTTGGGGGGGGTCAACAGTGGGAGGGCTTCTAATGTCCTGGCCCCACTGGTGGACCTCCTGATGGCACTGGTATTTCTGGCCACTGTGGGATACAGAGTGTTGGACTGGATGGGCCTTTGGCCTGATCCAACATTGGCATCTCTTATGTTCTTATGTTCTTATCTTTGGGGCCTGGAAGGGCCAAAAGGTTTTGGGTCCCTGAGTGCAGTGCTCTCTGGGGGACACATGGGGAAAGGCGGTCCCTTAGATATGCCGGACCCTGACCATAAAGGGCTTTAAAGGTCAAAAACAGCACCTTGAAGCGAATCCGCTATGCTATTAGCAGCCAGTGCAGTGCTTTTGGCACAGGCTAGATGTGTTCTCATATAGGTAGGCCCATCAACAGCCGGGCCGCAGCATTTTGCACCAGCTGCAGCTTCCAGATTTGGGACAAGGGCAGCCCAATGTAGAGTGCATTACAGTAGTCTAACCTCAAGGTGACCATCACATGGATCACTGTTGCCAAGTCATTGTGTTCGAGGAAGGGAACCAGCTGCCTGATCGGCCGAAGATGATAACAGGCTGACTTGGCAGTGGCTGCAACCTGGGTCTCCATTGTTAAAGAGGCATCCAGGAGCACTCCCAAAACTCCTAACCTCTGGTGCTGGCATCAGCTGTGCCCCATCGAAGGTCGGGAGTGGGATCCCTACCATCAGGCCACCCCGGCTCAGGCACAGGACCTCTGTCTTCATTGGATTCAGTTTCAGTCAACTCAGTCTAAGCCAACCAGCCACAGCTTGTAATGCCCAGTCCAGATCTTCCGGGGTAGAGTCAGACTGGCCGCCCAACAACAGATAGAGCTGGGTGTCATCCACATATTGGTGACACCCTAGCCCATGCTTCTGGGCAATCTGGGCAAGGGGGCGCATATAGATGTTAAACAGCATCAGGGAAAGTACCGCCCCCTGAGGCACTCCACAAACCACTGGGTGCCTACGGGACAGTTGTTCCCCTAGTTGTTCCCCTTTGTCCTCAACCCTGAAGGAAGGATGCAAACCACTGCAAGGCAAGCCCCTGAACACCAGAATCAGCAAGGTGGTGGATCAGTAGCTGATGGTCGACCATGTTAAACACTGCCGACAGGTCTAACAACAACAGCAACTCAGGCTAATTTCAGGTGAGCCCTGGACCTGATTCATATTAAACCTCAGGGTCCTCAGGCCCTGAACTGGGTGTTTGTTTTTTTACTGGTATGTTGACTATTGAATTTGAGGGCAAGGGCCAAATGTTGACACTTTTTCTCATTGACTGGGCTTTCCAATCGTCTTTGGGATATTAAAAACTAATGGTAAAATTGCACTGTTTTGTCACCTCCATAGGTAGCCCTGGCATAACATGAAGGGACTCAGATAATTTTACAATTTGCCCATAATTTTACAATTTGCCCATAAATCTTCTCTTAAACTATAGATTAACTTGGATGTAGTTTCAGGTTGTGGTTGGAAGGCACAAGATACAGCAGTGTTGAGGAAACTGGAGAGTGCCTCAGTGGGATACTGCTTGGGAGCCCTCTGTATGCCACTTTGGGTTTTATGAGGGAAGAAAGGTGGACTATAGATGCCATAACAAATGGCAGACATTTTTCTGATGGGCATTGCTTAAAAATAAGATGCTGCTACCATATTTTCAAATTAAAAATTCCTCTTGAGTCATTACATTGCTGTACCCAAAGAAAAACCTTGCAGTTGGGAGTTCTGAGCTGTGTCTCTGTTTCCACCTGTGAAATACTGGACTGTGTGGGTGCTTATAACTGTATTTCACAGTTCACACAAGCACATTGTTGAACAGGCACCGTCAGATCCCACAACTGACACACTCCCAGGTCATTTTCTACCCCAGTACAGCCAAGCTGACTTTCACTCAGACTTCCCTCCTGTTATGGCACAACAGCTTACAGATGTGGGTCCAGTAAATTAGTCCTGCATCACTTCCTGCCCCTCTGGAGCATTGGTCGGGCTGTCTGGTAACAGGTCTGAAGGTGGCCCCTGTATGGGAAGATGGCTCCTTATGGAAATACCCAGGGGTCATTTCCTGCAGGAGCTCACAGGAGCGGAGCTCCGGCAGTAAAGAGCCCAGGGGGTGGGCACATGCAACAAGCCCCACCCCCTACTCCCAGCAGCCCTCAGTCAGAGCAAGAAGCAGCCAGGTAAGTTGCAGAGCTCCCTCTGGCCACCCAGTCCAAAACAGTCCAGTGGCACCTTTAAGACCAAGTTTTATTCAGGTACAAGCTCTCCCTCCTCTGCGATGACAGATCTGCATGTTCCCCCCCCCCCAATGGCTAGCAATCCAAAACAGTCCAGTGGAGCCTGAGCGGTGGCTGTTGCCTTCAGACACACTTCCGGTGATGCCAGGGGGTGTGGCATATGCAAATAAGGTATGCTAATGAGTTATGCTAATGAGCTCCTGCACCTCTTTTTCTACGAAATGACCCCTGGAAATACCAGCACTACTACTCACCCCTCTCTCAGTAGTCCCATGCTAATATCTCTATTTAGGTTCCATCACACCATACTATGGGAGGCACTTACGCACTCCTGTTGCCCTGCAAGTAGTGCCCTGTCTTTCTCATTTATTTATTGCCCTCTCCTTCTTTGCATAGCTCAAGCCTGCCATCCTACCTTTCTTCTGGTAGAGGTCATAGTGGACATTCCTCTGCAACTGGGTTTGTGGTGAATGCTGGGTCAAGCGCAGCAGCTGGCAGCCATGGCTCTGCCAGTTGTAATTAAAGGCTCTGGAGAAGCAACACAACACACAAGCATAATCATCATTAGTCCTTGCAATGTAAGTCCCTCAGCTTTGCCAGGAACCACACCCACTTCTTACATCCATGAATGAAACCCTAGTTCCATTAGCAGCTCTTTTAAGCCCTACAGATGTATAGAAGGAAGCACCACTTTCCACTACTCAGATACAGGCCATGTTCAGCAGAGCCACAGATCTCTTTGTTATTGGGAAAGGGATACATAGAATGCTTAGACCATGGCGAGCATTTCACCACATGGTACAGCAGCATGTAAACTCCCTTCTCCATGCAGCACTGTGGTTCCTCACCACAACATGCCTAACAACTGTACACATGCACATAACACTTGCACTCACTCATAGTCGAGATGGAGAAAACAAACTATGCAGGCAGGTCTCAGGGTCTATCCCTGACATCTAAATGCTGGGCAGACTTAGGAGAAAGGCCCTTGCCTGAGTTGACTGGGTTAGACATTTCAGATCTAGATGGATTAATAACCTCCACCAGCAGAAGACAGCGCTAAATACAGTTCGTTCCTGTATCACCCTGATGCTCACTTCTGTGCCTCCAGTGCTGTTGCTTTCTCTCTCACCTGCAGTGTAGGATAGTTGTGCACTGCCTTGCACATTCCTCTACCCCAACGGACTTCTCCTCTTTCTGGAGGGACACAGAAACCAGCTCAGTAGCTTTTAGCCTCTGGAAGTCATTAAGAGGGGAACGCTGACCTGGAAAGACATAGAAAACACATGTTGCTGCAGTCTCCTACAAAAAAGCCACAATCCAATCAGTTCCAGAAGCCAGAAAACAACACAGTCTAGGAGTGTTTCTGACCTGGGGCAAGCTAGCACTGTTTGATGCTCAGGAAGAAGAAATAGGCAGTGATTCAAAGAAAAATGTCTTCCCAGGGACTTCTAAGCATTCTCAAGTTCTTGGGCTTTCTGAATGGAACTCTTAATGTGCAAAATGTAAGGGCTTTTCCACATTTTTGGAGGTCAGTTCTGGCCCCATAATGCTTCAGTTTATCCCCTGATTTCCACACACATTTTTGTCCTTCAGTTTTCACCAGTTTTTCCCCTCAGGTTCCCCCCACCCCCCAGTTTCTTTTAAGACTACCCTTACCCTGATATTTTTCTGGAAACTGATTTTGAGTTGGCTTTTTCCTTGTGCATAATGTTTCTGTCACTTTTCTTTTTCCCGTCCACTCCCACCACCTTCACCACACCTTTCAGTGATTGGATTGTCCTCATCTCCTCCCCCTGCTCTGAAAATGAGTGGTTTTTTATTTTATTTTATTAAAAGGCACTGAGATATTTATATATTGATATACTGCAGTAATGATAGGTCAAGCATGTTCTCTGAATTTCCAACTTTCATTAACAAAACACAAGGGCTGTGGTCATACACACTAAATAATCCACTTTCAATCCACTTTCCAACTGGATTTTGCCAGTTCACACAGTAAAATCCAGTTGGAAAGTGGACTGAAAGTGGATTATTTAGTGTGTGTGACCACAGCCTAAACCATTACCATGGTCGGACTGATTTGCCCTGAAGGCCCAACTAAGCGCTCTTAACCCCTCCTGTTTGGGCATCGAGCGGATTTATGCTCACCTGTGGAGTCAGTAGGTTCCAGGAAGCTCTGAGGGATCCGATTCCCCCTGGCAACTCATTGGAAGAGCTACTGGAAGACTGGCAAAATCGTCTTTTCGAAGCCATCAATGAGATTGCTCCCCGGCACCCTCCTTGCCCCCATTCCAAATTGGCTCTGTGGTACTCCCCGGAACTGAGGTGGATGAAACAGGAGCTAAGACGACTAGAGAGAAGGTGGTGACAAGCCCATGATGAAGCTACAAGAACATCCTATAGGTCATTTATGAAAACCTACGAGATGGAGGCAAAGGCCACTAAGAAGGATTTCTACGTGGCCTCCATCGCGTCTGCAAGTTTGTGCCCAGCCCAATAATTTACAATAATTCAGTCATTGACTACTTTGCCCCAAGGCATTCCAAATGCTAAATAATTGGTGATTGGCTGTGAGGCATTTGTGAACCATTTTGCAGATAAAGTCTTGACGCTCCGCCGCAACCTCCCAGCCACACCTGATACAATAAGGGAACTGGAAGCCCCTTGTCCTTCTATGGGTCCAATTTTGGACCATTTCAGTCTGCCTACCCAGGATGCAGTTGAAAAGATCTTGGTAGCTGTGAAACCCACCACTTGCTTTCTTGATCCTTGCCCATCGTGACTAATTAAAGCCTGCAGCGATGCGGTAAGGACTCCCCTGAGGGAGATTATCAACTTGTCCCTATCAACGGGGACTTTCCCAGGGAGTTTAAAAGAGCCAGTAGTCTGCCCCCCTCCTAAAGAAACAATCTTTTGACCCTATGGTTAGGGTTGCCAAGTTGATCTTAAGCCAGAGCGGGGGGCTCCCGGCTGGCGTCTGGTGTGTGCGTGCGCGCGCCGCATGCACATCACCCGAAAGTGACGTGACAACGGCAGGCACGCTGGGGGCGGGGCCATAGCCATACGAGGGGAAACATAGAGTTTTCCCTCAGATTGCCGTGGCTCCGCCCCCAGCGTGCCCGGTGTGGTCGTGTCACTTCCGGGTGACGTGCACGTCGGGGTGGAGTTCCCCCGGGGGCCCGATCCGGCGGCGGCGGGGAATGGGGCTTTGGGGCGGGGGTTTCCCCACCCCCCAGGGGGACTTGGGAAGCCTACCTATGGTCCTTGGAACTACCGCCCAGTATCCAATCTACCATTTCTGGGTAAGGTAGTGGAGAGGGCAGTGGCGACACAGCTTCAGGCTTTCTTGGAGGATGCTAACATCCTGGATGTCTTCCAGTCCGGCTTTCACCCTGCTCATGGGATGGAGACGGTGGATGACCTCCAGAGATATCTGGATCGAGGTGATTCAGCACTGCTGATTCTTCTTGATCTAACAGCAGCGTTCGATACAATCAAACATGTACTGTTGACCCACCATCTCGCTGATGTGGAGATACGGGGGCTAGCCTTACAGTGGCTGGACTCCTTTCTCCAAGATCAGGGACAGAGGGTGGCGCTTGGGTGGGGAGTTGTCTCAGTGGCACTCACTTGGATGTGGTGTGCTGCAGGGAGTGATTCTCTCCCCGATGTTATTCAGCATCTATATGTGTCCCCTTGCCCAGATTATTCGGAGGTACAGGCTGGGTTGTAACCAATATATGGATGACACCCAGCTCTATCTACTGAGAGATGGCCTTCCAGACTCTGCCCCTGAACCACTGGACAGAGCGTTACAAGCCGTGGCTGGATGGGTACAACAGAGCAGACTGAAACTGAATCCATCAAAGATGGAGGCCCTGCACCTGGGTTGTGGGGGTCTGGGATTGGGTATTAGGCTACCAGCCTTTGATGGGGCTCCATTGGTGCCAGCACCGAGGATGAAGAGCCTGGGGTGTTCCTGGACACCTTATTGACTACGGAGGCCCAGGTCACCACCACTTCCAGGTCCATCTTTTTTCATCTGCGGCAGATCAGGCAGTTGGTCCCATATCTCACCCACCGCAATCTGGCTGCAGTGACCCATGCAATGGTCATTTCCAGATTAGACTACTGTAATTCTCTCTACGTGAGGCTTCCCTTGACTCGTCACCAGAAGCTACAGCTAGTGCAGAACGCAGCAGCATGGGTGTTGATCTTGCTTCCTATGCAGGCACATATCCGCCCAGTGCTGCAAGATCTGCACTGGCTGCCTATTGAACACTGGGTCTGTTTCAAGGTGTTGGTGCTTACCTTTAAAGCCTGCATATCTTTGAGACCACCTCTCCCCATATGAGCCCCATAGAACATTATGTTCTGCCAACCAGCATCTCCTGGTGGTCCCTTGCCCTAGGGAGATCCAACTTGCCTAAACTGGGGCCAGGGACTTTTTGGCTCTGGCCATCACTTGGTGGAGATCAGGGCCCTGCGGGACCTAATACAGTTCCGCAAGGCCTGCAAGATGGAGCTCTTCCACCAAGCCTTTAGTTGAGGCAGTGGGCATCCATTTTGATTAGGCCTCCCCCCCCCCCATGACCGCAGATGCTGAAAGCCAGACTGGGACCACACTATCTGCTGTTGAGGTGCATTGTTGTTTTAAATGATGATGATTTTATTGAATTAAGGTCGATGATTTTATTGTTGTTGTTGTTCAGTCGCATAGTCAAGTCCGACTCTTCGTGACGCCATGGATCACATTACACCAAGCTCTCCTGTCTTCCATCATGCTCTGAAGTTGGCTCAATTTCATGTTCTTTGCCTTGATAACACTGTCTAACCATCTCATCCTTTGCCGTCCCCGTCTTCTTTGACCTTCAATCTTTCCCAGCATCAGGGTCTTCTCCTTTGAGTGCTCCCTTCTAATTTGGTGGCCAAAGTATTTGAGCTTCAGCTTCAGTATCTGGCCTTCCAGGGAACATTCAGGGTTGATTTCTTTTAGGATTGACTGATTTGATCTTCTTGCAGTCCAGGGGACTCTCAAGAGTCTTCTCCAGCACCATAATTCAAAAGAATCTATTCTTCGGCACTCGGCCTTCCTTATAGTCCAACTCTCGTAGCCATACAGTACTACTTGGAATACCATTGCTTCGACCATATGGACTTTTGTTGGCAGGGTGATGTCTCTACTTTTTATTATGCTGTCAAGGTTTGCCATCGCTTTCCTCCCAAGGAGCAGGCGTCTTTTAATTTCATGGCTGCAATCACCGTCTGCAGTGATCTTGGATCCCAGGAATGTGAATTCTGTCACTGCTTCCACGACTTTTCCTTCTATTTGCCAAGGAGTGATGGGGCCGGATATCATGATTTTAGTTTTTTTGATGTTGAGTTTCAAGCCAACTTTTGCACTCTCATTTTTCATCCTTAGCAAGAGGCTCTTTAGGTCCTCTTCACTTTCTGCCATTAGAGTGGTATTGTCTGCATATCTGAGGTTGTTGATGTTTTCCCCAGCAATCTTAATTCCAGCTTCTGAATCATCCAGGCTGGCATTTCGCATGATGTATGCTGCATATAAATTTAAAAAGCAAGGGGACAATATACATCCTTGTCATACTCCTTTTCCTACGCTAAACCCAGCTTGTACTTCTGGCAGTTCTCTACCCATGTACTGCTGAAGCCTAGCTTATAGGATCCTTAGCATGACCTTGCTAGCATGTGAAATGAGTGCAATTGTGCGATAGTTTGAACATTCTTTGGCATTGCCCTTCTTTGGGATTGGAATGTATATTGACAGTTTCCAATCCTGTGGCCACTGTATGTTTTCCAAATTTGCTGGCAAATTGAGTGCAGCACTTTAACAGCATCATCTTTTAAGACTTCGAATAACTCAGCTGGTATACCATCACCTCCACTAGCTTTGTTGTTAGTAATGCTTTCTAAGGCCCATTTAACTTCACATTGCAGGATGTCTGGCTCAAGGTCAGTGATTATACCGTTGTAGTTGTCAAGGACATCGAGGTCTTTCTTGTATTGTTCTTCTGTGTATTCTTGCCATCTTTTCCTAATCTCTTCTGCTTCTGTTAAGTCCCTATCATTTTTGTCCTTTATCATGGCCAGCTTTGCATGGAATGAGCCCTTGATTTCTCCAATTTTCTTGAAGAGATCTCTAGTCCTTCCCATTCTATTGTTTTCCTCTATTACTTTGCATTGTTCATTCAGGAAAGCCTCCTTATCTCTCCTTGCTGTTCTCAGGAAATCTGCATTCAGTTGGGTAAATCTTTCCTTTTCACCTTTGCCTTTTGCTTTCCTTCTTTCCTCTGCTATTTGTAAAGCCTCATCAGACAGCCACTTTGCTTTCTTGCATTTCTTTTTCTTTGGGATGGTGCTGATTGCTGCCTCCTGTACAGTGTCATGAACCTCTGCCCATAGTTCTTCAGGCATTCTGTCTATCAAATCTATTTAACAATGTATCAGTATTGTGGTGCCATTTTTTAAACACGCAGCCATGACACTGATATATCACTATAAGCATGCACAAAAAACTTAAAAGAGAGGGGGGTGCTGTGACACCACCAATGATGACAGCTTCAGGCATTCTGTCTATCAAATCTATTTAACAATGTATCAGTATTGTGGTGCCATTTTTTAAACACGCAGCCATGACACTGATATATCACTATAAGCATGCACAAAAAACTTAAAAGAGAGGGGGGTGCTGTGACACCACCAATGATGACAGCACCCTCCACTGAAAATCCTTATCACTAAATGTAATATACTCAGCTCAGACCGCGTGGCCAGCTTGGGCTCCACGCAGTCAAGCTCCAACATCGAGCTTTGCTCGAAAAGACAATGGACTATGAGGATCCTAGCTCGCACCAATCAGGGGTCTAGGTTCCCGGCCGAGAGCCTATGGAACTCTCGGCCACTGTAAATAACCTATTGGGAAGTGGGGGGGTGTTATGGGTGGCGGTTTCATGGGGAATATAAGCCGGCCTGCGAGCTGGCTAAAGTCGTCTTATTCCTAATCTAATAAAGTACGCTAAGCTGAAATCACTCTCCGTCTGCGTACTTTTCACTAAAGAAGAAAATAAACTGACTTCACAACTGTGAAAATGCAGAGGGAGGGCAGACATGCAGAAGGGCCATGTCCAAACTGATTCCAATGTTTGTGGATCAACTCCCGGGAAAATCAGGAGTAAGTCAAGCATGTGGAAAAGCCCTAAGTGAAAGCCTGACAAGTCTAGAAGAGTGGGCTGAGGACATTTCTTCTTAAGCACATCTAGGTGGCTGTGATTTGGGCTGCATGCACTTTCCCAGCATATCCAGTATCCACAGACACGTGGTGTGACTTTGCACAGACATCTGGACTGGGGACAACACTGGCTTTACAATCTAGATCTGGCTTCCCATGGTGTATGTACAGGTGTCCCAAGAAAGGAGTTACCTGGCCTACCCCAGAATGTTTGGTGCACCTGGTTATCACATTGCTCATCCAAAAGCCCACAAAGCTCTGGGCCTCATTCAAGTGGAATCTACAGGATGAATAAGGATTAGCTGAGAAATTGGCCCTGGATGCCAGGGCAAACTTTTTCCAAGGGGTAGTGAATAAAGTAGCTTAGAAGAATTCTTTGGGATGTCATTGGAGCTGGGGATTAGAACTAACTAATGATAGTGACTAAAGGGAACATCTGTATTATGACTTTAAAGTGGGGTTATTTCCAAAACTCTCCTTCTGCACAAGAACCTTGGGAATTGTAGTTTGGAGATCCTCACCCCCTCCTGACAGCCATAGTTTCTAGGTTTCCTTGGTCACAGCCACAGCAGTTAAACAAACCTAAAACTGTTTTAAGTGTACTGTAAACAAGCCCTAAGAGCTGTCCTAAAAAGAACAGGACATGACAGATTTTATACCTTTACTACAATGTCTCCCAAAGAAAGCAGCCACACCCCAAAAAGGAGGGCAGCAGACCTTTCATTTGCATCTTATGTCTGCATTATCAAAAACCTGCACCTCGGCACCTTGGTTTGAACATGAAGCTTGTACAGGCTGAGCAGATATTACAGGTGTGCAGCAGCAAACTGTTCTGTCTTGGCTGGCCTGATCCTGTCAGACCTCAGAAGCTAAGCAAGGTCAGCCCTGGTTACTTGGATGGGAAACGACCAAGAAAGTTCAGGATTGCTATGCAGAGGCAACCACCTCTGAACATCTCTTGCCTTGAAAACCCTGCAGGATTGCCATAAATCAGCTGTGACTTTTTTAATAAACAATTTTTATTATTTTCTACCATTATACACTTCCCATCGCCACCAGCAAGTAGGCAGAGCTACGCACAAAGCAACATCAGAACCCAGAAAGCTGCTTTTGGCAGCCGGAAACTACTTAACAAATCTGACAGACCCAGCTTCAAGTTTTCCTTGCTATTCCCATTAACATGTTTTTTTCCTACTTTCAACAGTTGCATGACAGCCAGAAATATATCAAGCGTAGCCTTCTCTAACACAGAACAGGGGGGGGGGGGGGGGGGGGAGAGCTGTACCTGCTGAATTTCTGCCTGCCATGAAATGGTCACAGGCATGGAATCTTGGCTGGGGGGAGGAAGAGTGGCAACGCTTCTTAGAAAAACCTGGCAGGGGTACTTAAAACAAAAAACGCTACATTTTTCCTGTCTGAACCCCAGTCATGTGCCTTTAATATAGATAAACATTTTCCAGACTTCCCCAGCACTGAGCAAAAAACAATTTGCCAACTGAAAACCTGACTACTGATTTATTTAGATATATCTACCCGGCTATTTCCCCCAATGGGGACCCAAAGCAGTTTACAACCTCATTCTCCAAGCCTCCATTTTATCCTCTATGGAGGGGGGGGGGGTTAGTCTGAGAGCATGTGGCTGCCCCAAGGTCTGCCCCAGTGGGCTTCCATGGCAGAGTTTGGATTCAGACCCCTATGTCCCAGATCCTAGTCTGACACTCAAACCACCCTGCCACAGGCTTGGGGGGGAGGGGGCAGGGGTAATCTGCTCTGCGCAGGAGCAATGTCGTGGTCTCTGATCAGCTGCGTCTTGCTTTCTTGTGAGGCTCTGTAGGGAGCCGTGGCAAAAAGGGGTGACAAGGAGGGAGACAGCTGCTCCTCCTACCTCCTCTTGGTTCAGAAGCCCTCATAGGACCAAAATGCCCTTACTCTCCTAGTCTCCCCCCCTATCCCAGGTGCCTCAGTGCAAAAAAACCTCAGCAGTTCTGAGGAACAGGGGAGAAGTTGCAGCCACGGGAGAGAAGAGCCCTGCGGCAGCTCCAGGAGAAAGGAAAGGGGGGGGAGGATCCTCACCTGTGCTCAAGGTACAGGCCAGCACAAGGAACAGGACAGCTGTGGCCTGCATGGCCCTCTCCAGCAGCACCAGCTCACCCAGGCCGATGCGCCAGCTGGGTTAGGTGTTCAGGAACAGACTGTCAGCGAGCAACATGCAGACCTCCCTGACACCACTAGCCAAATATTTACTTATGGCTCACATGCCAGTAATATTTCAGAGAAAGGAAGGAAAAGATTCAAAGGGCATGGGGTACAATTACTCACGGGGGACCCATTATACTAGTTCCCCCCATATGTAACTTTTCTCTCTTCTGTCCGCAGGTTGACCTCTACCACAGGCCCCGGCCCCCACAAAAACGTCAACATTATGTAAGGTCAAGTTAATAAATTGTTCCCAACTCATCCAATCTGGCCCTGGCTCAAGAACCATCCCCATTCCTGTAAGTGAGCTACCTCAGAGCAGAAACAATCTCAGCCCTTTCCTGAAAGCATGCCAGAAGGGAAGGGATAGCTCATAAAAATCCAGCAGCTCCGAAGCCAGATCCCACGAGACAACACTGCAGGGCTCTGATTGGTGGAATCCCAAGCCCAACAGGAGTGGTTAACAGGAAGTCCTGTGGGGAGGGGGACGGTATACAGCCTGGGCATTCACAGGCAGAACTACTATGCATTCAATACCCGTACTACAGGCAGAAACTGACAGCTGAAACTTTCCCATGCTGCACTCGTTGATTTGGTCTCATTGTGCAGCTGTTACAGAAATTATCAGAATGTACCTATTTATACAGTCCAGAAATAGTATGGCTGAATCGGAGGTTATTAATCGTACCCAAATCTCTAGCAGCTGTAGCTTTCCCCATTGTGGAGATACTTGTAATAAGGAATTAATCTGTTGAATTTCTTCCAACTAAAGCAATGTCACAAGTTTAGAACTCCCCCCATCACATCAAAAGGGTATTTCAAAGCCTGTTTACCTCAATTCCACTAAACTGAATGCGATCCACTCCCTACTGATTGTCATTTGGCATCTCCACTCTCCAAGATATAAGGACAGATGGACTCCCATTCTAGCTGTTATCTGAAGAAGTGAGCAGTGACTCACGAAAGCTCATACCCTGCCACAAATTTTGTTAGTCTGTTAGGTGCTACTGGGCTCTTGCTCTTTTCTACTGCTAGTGATTGTGTTCAGGATTGAGCCCGACAGCCAGATCTTATGCACACATACTTGGAAGGCATTCTCACAAAGTTACTTTCATGTAAATACATACAAGACTGCTGTTGCAAAGCCCAATTAGTTGCATCCAGTTAGGATCTGGGAGACACTGATTTGAATCCCCACTATAGCACAAGTTGAGTTTGATGTCTTCACTCTTTTCCCGGTCAGAGGCTGAGTTGGGAGATCTGAGAATGTAGGTGTTACTGATATTTTTTCCAGGCAGCCATGAGTGGCAATGGTTACTATTCACCTATTGTCTTTTATCACAGAGTGTGTATGTTTGATGTGCCCTCAAGTCGCTTCTGATTTATAGTGACTCTATGAATTATTGAGCTCCAAAATGTCCTATCATTAACAGCCTTACTCATTGTAATGTATTGAGATCGCTTGCATGAATCGCTTCATTCACTCCCTATGCAAAGCTTGAGCCAGAAGAAGGCTCCTCCGAACCGCTCTCTCATTGGTCGCCCTCTAACAGCGACCAATCAGGAACTGCACAAGCTCCAGCGAGGGAAAGACTCTCATTGGCCTTTAACTCATCAATCGCATTGGTTGTTAATTGTAAATAGGCATGGCTATATTAGCCCGGTAATGTTTAAAAGGAGCATAGTTCCCAATGTTAACTCGTTCTGGTTTTGGAATGCGTTTGAGTGTTTGTTCGCTACTTCAAATAAAGCTGAATCACTGAGCTGAAATCATTCTCTGATCCTTTGTTAGCGCGATCTAACAATTGGCGACGAGGATGGGATGTTAGAGCAGGTAGGCAGCCCTGCAAACAACCCCACGCCGGAAGAAAGCGAACCAAGCACAGCAGCCGATCAAGCGGAGGCGCCACCAGCACCGGTGCCCAAGTCTCCCAAGATGGCTGGAAACCAGAAGTTCGAATCGTTCGAACCTGCATCTGAGGACTGGGACGCATACCTCGCCCGGTTCGAGTTTCATCTTGAGGCCAACGACATCACCGACGAGGCGAAGAAGAGGGCAAGCCTGCTGAGCTCCTGTAGGAAAGGCACCTTCGACATCGCCAGGTCGTTGGTAGCTCCGGCCGACATCAAAACGGTGTCATTCACTGAGCTGACGAAGAAGCTTAAGGCCCACTTTTCTCCCCAACCTTCGGAGATCGCCTGCTGGCATGCATTTTACAAGCAGAGCCAGGCAGGAAACGAGACCATTGTGGGGTTCGTGGCGGCCCTTCGCAAAGCTGCACGGCCGTGTAACTTCACGGATGTGGAGGAGGCCCTCAGGGACCGTCTCGTATGTGGCCTCAAAGACGGGAGGCTGCAACAGAAGCTGTTTGTGCGCACCACCCTGACCTGGGCGGTGGCATATGAAGAGGCCGTGGCAGCAGAGGCGGCGGACAAGTCAACGAAGGAGGTCCATCAGCGGCTGGCTGAACACAAAGTTCATTTCCAACGTGACAGCGAGGGCGATGATGCGGACGATGACGTCAACGCAGTTCGAGGCAAGCGGACCCCAGCGAAACCTACAGCCTTCAAGCCGTGCTCCAGTTCTGGCGGGAAACACCAGCGCGACTCCTGTTGGGCCCGAGATGTCGACTGCAGAGTGTGTGGGCGGCACACCGCGTTTGCCTGCACCGGAGGCGTGGACACCTTGCCAGAGTCTGCAGGTCGGCGCAGAAGGGTTCATCATCCAGCAGCAAGGGGACACCGCGTTTGCCTGCACCGGAGGCAGCCCCCCAGATGACCACCAACCTCACCAGCGCTTCAGCCGTGCATCGCACCAGCCGTCAGGAGAAAATCTCCGTGACCCCGACCCTTGACGGACGACCCTGCACGATGGAGGTCGACTCCGGCTCTTCTGTGACAGTCATCTCTGCGGTGTCCTGGCAGCAGCTTTTTCCGAATCGAAGGCGGCGGCGGCTCCAGCCTGCAGACACGAGGGTAACCGACTTCCAAGGGAACAGGATGCCCTTGGCAGGGAGGGACACTGCAAATGTTGAATGCAAAGGGAAATGTGCTAACCTCTCTTTCCTAGTTGCTGAAGGAGACCGGGTCAACCTGCTGGGGTTGGATTGGTTTGGGCCATTGGGAATTGGTATTTCCGGTATTAACAAAATGTCTGAGAATAAATGGGACATGCTGTATGACCTTTTCCCTGATGTGTTTGGTGAGGGTTTGGGGCGGTACAAAGGGCCCCCGGTTGCGTTTGAGTTAGACCCATCCGTAAAGCCGATTAGTTTAAAATATCAAAAGGTACCAGTTCCTCTCAGACCTAAAGTCGAAAGAGAGCTTGACAAGCTTGTGGAACAAGGGGTCTTAGAACCTGTTCCTTACAGCAAGTGGGAGACCCCTATAGTGACTCCCGTTAAGGCAGATGGGTCCATACGCTTATGCGCAGATTACAAATGCACCCTGAATAAGGCATTGCAGCAACATTCCTATCCTGTCCCAGTAATAAGTCACATCCTGGGTTCTTTGGGGGGAGGCAAGATATTTGCCAAACTTGACTTGGCCCAGGCGTACCAACAATTGCCTGTAACCCCTGAGGCTGCAGAAGCCCAAACAATTGTTACGCACAGGGGGGCTTTTAAGGTGAACCGACTCCAGTTCGGAGTCAATGTAGCACCAGAGATCTTTCAGGGTCTCATGGAACAACTGTTAAGGGGGGTGCCTGGCACGGTGCCCTACTTTGATGACGTGTTAATTGCGGGGGGGGGGGTCAGAGCAAGAATTGCTGGACCGTGTAAAGGAGGTTTTAAAGTGTTTCCAAAATGCTGGGCTCAGGGTAAAGCAGTCAAAATGCACACTGTGGAGTTTCTGGGATTTCGCATCGACAAAAAAGGTGTCCATCCCACAGAAGAGAAGGTGTCCGCGATCCGAAACACCCCCAGGCGGGTGAGTAAGAAAGAGCTACAATCATTTTTGGGGTTGCTCAATGTTTACCATGCTAAGGCGCTTCCAAAATGCCGGGCTCAGGGTAAAGCGGTCAAAGTGCACACTGGGAGTTGGCAGTGTGGGGTTTCTGGGATTTCGCATCAACGAAAGGGGAGTCCATCCCACGGAGGAAAAGGTGTCTGCAATCCGAAACGCCCCCAGACCGGTGAGTAAGAAAGAGCTACAATCATTTTTGGGGTTGCTCAATGTTTACCATGCTTTCTTACCGCATAAGGCATCAGTGGCGGCCCCTTTGCACGAGCTTTTGCATAAGGAGGCGAAATGGAAGTGGGGACAGGCCGAAGAAAGGGCTTTTGTGGGAGTAAAGGAGCTGTTGACATCTAATGACGTGCTGACTCATTACGATGAGCAGAAGTTCCTGGTGCATGACTTTATTTTTGGCAGGCGATTTTTGCTGGTCACTGACCACAAGCCGCTACTGGGAATTTTTGCGCCCGATAAGCAGTTGCCAAATATCATGTCCCCACGTATGCTTAGATGGGTGCTCTTTTTGCAGGTGTACGATTATGACCTTGAACACTGGCCTGGGAAAGCAATCGGACACACGGATGCCCTCAGCCGCTGCCCATTGCCCTGTGTTGACTCCGACCCTGCCCCTGCTTGTGAGGTCCTGGCAATCGACGAACTTCCCCAGGCACCTGTGTCATCCAAAAACATTGCGGCACTAACGGCCAAGGATAGCATACTATCCCGAGTATTAAACTGGGTTTGGAGGGGGTGGCCGGTTGGAAGCGTGGAACCAGAGTTTGTGCCTTACAAAAGCCACCAAAAAGAACTGTCCATTTCAAAAGGTTGTGTGCTATGGGGAAATAGAGTGGTAGTCCCTGACAGACTCAGGAAGCGTGTACTGGAGTCTCTGCACGAGGGTCACCCCGGAATGGTGCACACCAAAGCGCTAGCCAGGGGATATGTTTGGTGGCCGGGGCTTGATGCAGAAATCGAAGAATGGGTGCGTGTGTGTCCCCAGTGTCAGCAGGTCAGACCT